TATTGATATTCTTCCCTCCGATGGTGCTCATATTCATTCTTTTGCATCTTACGTCCTCGTCTGGCTTCGACGTCGTCTCATCTGGTTCTCTGTTATTAAAGTGGACCTGAGTGCTGCAGCAATGCAGACCTGTGAGTCTCTTCTGATTAAGTTCAGAAGAAACAAAGGCAGGGTCAATTAAATGCATCTATTCAAGGAAGTTTCTCACACTGAATGTTGATCCATCTGGTGTACTATCACTTCAGCGTAATATGTGAAACCCCAAGTGTGTATGCAATAGTTGGTGTGAATTAATAAGGCAGCAGGTCGACTATTGTGGTCACATTTTCTTGTCTCAGTCTGGAGTTTTTTGTGGTCTTGCCCTTGGGTTTGGGTTCCTGAAGGAGGACGTTTGCATTAGTTTGTGTGAGCTTGGTTGTCTTTTAAAGGATGCAGCTACATCTTCATCTTCTGCTTCTTTTTTTTTTTTTTTTTAAGAGTTGATTGCTGGGAATCAACGGCCCTTTTCCTGCCGATGCAGTGGCCCATATGTTGGCGAAAGGGTCAGCCATTTGCCGATGTCCAGACATCTCCCACCTTATTTTCATGCTAAAATGTCACTAATAACATCATTGATGCACAAAATTCCTGAAGCTGAATCAGTTTTTGAACTGAACTGTTAAATCATCTCTTTGTGCACTGCTCAGTGTTCAAGTCAGACACCTAAATAAAGTTAATTTAGAGTATTTATTATACAGATGTTATTAGTGACCATAAATCCATTTAAATTCACTTTTAATATAATTCTGAAATATACATTTAAATAAAATGATTCAAATATTAGTAATGTACAGCTAAAACCCAATTTAGCTATAAAATCCATGACTTTTGTTCATGCTACCAGAGGTGTCACAGCCGTATTGCCCGAAGAATGAAGCTGTTGCACATTCTGGCTTTTTTTTTTATTATTATTATTATTTAATGAAGCAATATTTTCCTACAGATGGCAGGAGATTAAACAGCCAATGGGAGGTCTCTAATTAAACACATGGATTTCTTTCCTTAAAAATGGTTTCCAAGGATAGGAGCATGACCTCAAAATGGTCTCTCAGCCATCCTAACCAGATGTAGGTCCTTCCTGTTAAATACAAAGCAGAATAAGGATGGTGGTACTACTTCTATGAGCTAAAACTATCTGAAATGAGTGGCGTTGTTCCTACATAAAGCCCCATATTATAAAGTTTTAGTTTTTAGCTGCAAATAGGAATTTTTCCTGTCTTTAAAGAACACATAAGAAACTTTATCATCTAAAAAAAATGACATCATGTTTAGGACTGCTGTGTTTCTGGAAATGTAATATCTCATAGTGGAAAGAAATCCGTGTAACTGTATCTGATGACACACTGGCATTGTGACACCACTAGTGAGATGTAACTGAATGTGTCATCGTGACATGTTCATGTTGGGAACAATCGTATCCAAGTGACAGTGAGCTGGAATATTAAATCTGTATTCTTCAGAAGACTTTCCTTCAGTCTGGCTGGAGATTCCTCACTTCCTTGTGTCCAAACAAGCAAAAGCTGTGGGATGGTCCCCAGTAAATCTGAATCTTTCCAAGTGTTACTATAAAAAATATTTGTTTCTGAACTATGTCCCAGGAATACCATCAGCTTTTTTGTCTTGTTGCTTTTCCATTTTTCCTCCAAGACTCTGTGTTGCTGAGTTTAGTGCAGTAGTGTAATACAGGCTGGTAACGAGTTGGACTGTCCCTGATAACTGGTTGCACACGTGTGCTGCCATAATGAGACGGATTTGGATGGATTAGGCACCAAGTGGTGATGAAAAATGGCAGCCAACATGTCAGGCTTCAGCAGCAGGGAGAGATCCAGCCTGTAGCTTCACGTCCCGCCTGCCCATGCTGCCCTTCAATTTTCTGGCAGTTTGCTGCGTCGAGCTTTAGTCGAGCTTAGAGATCCTGTCGCTGCTTTAGATCCTCTGCCGTACTTCTTCTCCTCAGGAAAAATAGTTGGCTCGAGGGTTTGTGTCTTCAAAAGGAGATAACGCAATTAAAATTTAACAATAGTTGCATTCAAATTTGGTATTTTTAAAGCTCTAAATGGCATTTCTAACACATTCTTCCTCTTTGGTCTGCCTTCTTTCTCTCTGTTTCTGTCTTCCTTCCTCTCACACTTTCTAGCTTCCTGTGTGAATTCAACACCTACTGTGAGCCCAGATGCCCGACACTCTGGGATCACATAAGCTCTTACTTTGTAGTGTTTTGCCAAATGTTGGGGTTTTCCTGGCAGCTATCACTGTCAGACACGTGCTGGAGGTTTTAAGCACATTTTGAAACCATAAGGTCAATGAGTTCAAGTTCAATCACTTATGCAGTTTTTTTTAAATATTATTATTGTTTAAAAGCACATTTCTGCTGCACTTTTTGCCTTCCATGTTCCCAACAGCTCAGGGGTTTGCATTTTCCAAGTCTGAGGAGTCCTCTCAGTGAGACACGAGTCCCTCGACAAATAAACAACAGATGCTCAAATGTCTTCTTTGACTCATACTTGATCTTCAGCACGTTGTGCCTTTTTTCATAGACTTTAGCAGTGTTACAGTGTGCAGCTCTGATTTTTGGGGTTTCAAAGCTGTGTGATGTAATAAGTCAGTGATCCTGTGCAGCTCCGTAGGTGGACCAGGATTTGCTGGGCCACTTTGTTCAGAAATGTATCAAAGCGATTCAGGAGCTGAATACTTTGGTGGAAGATTCTGAAGTGCACACTGCAAAGATTCATTCTAATTATTTAATACAGATTTTTAAATATTTGATTGCCTACACAATTTTTGTCTGTCATTAAATAGAATAGGAACACAACGTTTGTAATGTCTGTACATATAAGGAGTTTGTATAAAATAATTTATGTTATAGAAGTTTTAAAAATAAAAACAAAACTACAACCTTGAACTAGAAGAGGGAGTTCACGCTTGTTTGAACTGGAGACCTGTAGGGTTAGGGTTAAATGATGACTCACACTTGTATAGCCACTATCATTCGCCCATTCACACACTGATGTAACCACAGCTTCTCTGGGGCACACTGACAGAGGTGATGCTGCCGAGTCTCTCCGACCACCACCAGCAGGCAAGTTGGGTTAAGTGCCTTGCCCAAGGACACAACAGCAGAATTCTCTGTCCGGAGCCAGAATCAAACCTGCAACTTCTGATTACTAGACAACCCGCTTAACCTCCTGAGCTTGTGCTGACCCCCAAGTTTAGCTCACTAGAGCTGGACTTCTACATCATAGGAAAGTGCATCTTGTTAGAAGTTGAACTCTTTATCTGAGGATGGCGCAGCTTCTTATAACTGGAACTCTATATCAGAGAGAGCTGTGGTTCTCTAAACCTAAAGCTCTATATCAAAGGGAGGTGTGGTTCTTTAGACCTGGAGCTCTATATCAGAGGGAGGTGCAGCTCCTTATAACTGGAACTCCATATCAGAGAGCGCTGTGGTTCTTCAGAAATAAAGCTCTATATCAGAGGGAGGCCTGGTACTTTAGAACTGGAACTCTATATCAGAGGGGGGTTCTTTAGACCTGGAACTCTATCAGAGGGGGTGCAGCTCCTTATATCTGGAACTCTATATCTGACAGAACTGTGGTTCTTCAGAACTAAAGCTCTATATCAGAGGGAGGTGTGGTTCTTCAGAACTAAAGCTCTATATCAGAGGGAGGTGTGGTTCTTCAGAAATAAAGCTCTATATCAGAGGGAGGTGTGGTTCTTTAGAACTGGAACTCTATATCAGAGGGAGGTGTGGTTCTTCAGAAATAAAGCTCTATATCAGAGGGAGGTGTGGTTCTTTAGAACTGTAACTCTATATCAGAGGGAGGTGTGGTTCTTCAGAGCTAAAGCTCTATATCAGAGAGAGGTGTGGTTCTTTAGAACTGGAACTCTATATCAGAGGGGGGTTCTTTAGATTTGGAACTCTATCAGAGGGGGTGCAGCTCCTTATATCTGGAACTCTATATCTGACAGAACTGTGGTTCTTCAGAACTAAAGCTCTATATCAGAGGGAGGTGTGGTTCTTTAGAACTGGAACTCTATATCGGAGGGAGGTGTGGTTCTTCAGAAATAAAGCTCTATATCAGAGGGAGGTGTGGTTCTTTAGAACTGGAACTCTATATCAGAGGGAGGTGTGGTTCTTCAGAAATAAAGCTCTATATCAGAGGGAGGTGTGGTTCTTTAGACCTGGAACTCTCTATCAGAGGGAGCTGTGGTTCTTCAGAGCTAAAGCTCTATATCAGAGGGAGGTGTGGTTCTTTAGAACTGGAACTCTCTATCAGAGGGAGGTGTGGTTCTTCAGAGCTAAAGCTCTATATCAGAGGGAGGTGTGGTTCTTTAGACCTGGAACTCTATATCAGAGGGAGGTGTGGTTCTTCAGAAATAAAGCTCTATATCAGAGGGAGGTGTGGTTCTTTAGACCTGGAACTCTCTATCAGAGGGAGGTGTGGTTCTTCAGAGCTAAAGCTCTATATCAGAGGGAGGTGTGGTTCTTTAGAACTGGAACTCTATATCAGAGGGAGGTGTGGTTCTTCAGAAATAAAGCTCTATATCAGAGGGAGGTGTGGTTCTTTAGACCTGGAACTCTATATCAGAGGGAGGTGTGGTTCTTTAGAACTGGAACTCTGTCTGAGGGAGGTGCAGTCCTTAAAACAGGAACACTGTATCAGAGGGAGCTGTGATTCTTTAGAATTGGAACTATCACAGGTAGGTGCAGTTCCTTTTAAATGGAACTCTATGTCATAGGGAGGTGCCGTTCTTTATAACATTGTTTCTATATTGGAGGGTGGTGCAGATCTTTAGAAATGTAACTCTACAAATCTCAGAACTTCTGTAATACTTTAAATAACTGTGTTAAACCATCTCACTCAAGCAAAAATGTCCTGTTTCTTTCTTTTTGCATGAGAAACAAAACCATCCCTTCATTTGTTTCAAGTAGAGAACCATTTTCCTCTCTTTCTGCTCAGGCTACCAAAGAGCTGAAACAGTACGACAACAAGATCATCGAGTGCTCCTTTGCTAATAACAGCTGGGTGTTTATGAGGCAACGGGCGGACAAAAGCTTCCCCAACTCCTACACCACAGCCATGGGTGAGACTTTGTTCTTCACTCCCTGTTATTTGTTATCTCCTCTATCTGTGTCTGTATCAGAGGGGAAACAAGCATTCAACCTGCGATTAATGACCTGTTTTATCTCTACATCAGCCTGTTCCCAGTTAGATTTTAGCTTTATAAGAGTGACTCTGTGTGTGTGTGTGTGTGTGTGTGTGTGTGTGTGTGTGTGTGTGTGTGTGTGTGTGTGTGTGTGTGTGTGTGTGTGTGTGTGTGTGTGTGTGTGTGTGTGTGTGTGTGTGTGTGTGTGTGTGTGTGTGTGTGTGTGTGTGTGTGTGTGTGTGTAAGAGCAGATGTTGTGTTGTATAAGAATGTACACCAACAGTCTGGCCTTATACTCGGCGCCCAGGACGAATTGTTTTCATCCTGCTCTCTCTCTTTGAGTCCAGAGGCTGACATTTTGCTTTCTTTTTTCTCTCAAATAACACCTCTGTGAACAGGTATCCAGGATATATTAGAGCCTGGAAAAAACAAGAAAATTAGATCAATACCGCTGCTCCGATAATGGAAGTTCACTCGACAATTACGTCTGATAATGAGGTGCACGATCCTGAGATGCCACTTCGTTATTTATACATTTTTTCCTCTCTGCTTTTCTGTTTTCTGCTCTGTGTGATAACTACGCAAAGGCGTGGAATTAATCTACCGGTAATCGCCCTTTGCACAGACTTGTTATTTACCCTGCAACTAAATTAGCACTAATGCTCTGTGCATGCATCTTGCACCTGTCTAGGTAGTTATGAGCTAGAGCTACATCTTCATAAACTTTGATGCAGAGACCAGTCAGCACATCCTCCCTCCTCCCTTTCTTGGCCGTCTTCATCTTTCAGCAGTAGCAGGGAGATGACGGCACAAAGAAGATGAGTGATGACAGTCTTGTCGGGCAGTTTATTAAGTCGAGCTTTTTACGTAATCATTAATCCAGGTTGTTTTTGTCTGTCAGATGCATTCTTTCAGACATGCTGTCTGAAAGAGTCGATCAGGTGTCACATTTCCACACAGATGTGGTCATCAACTGTGTTTTAATGCCATTTGGGGTTTTTGACATCAGGAATAACATAAAAGTGATGAATGCAAAACAGATTTATTCTGATCGTACAACAAGTGGTCATTCCGGTGGTAATTCTGTTCAATAATATTTTAACATTTTATGGATATTTCAGAATAGGACGCTTTTCCCTCTTTCCCTCTGAGTTTATAATCATTAACTTCTTGCGTACTCGTCCCACTCTTATTGGGTTTCTCCCCAGCTCAAAAGCTGAAAATGTGTGTTTATGTTTTACATTCTGATCCATTAGAGTTTGTCTTGGACTGTTGCACCGTAGCATTTCAGAGAGCGTAGTAGACTTAGGACTGCTAAACCATGTTGTAATAATAACACAACACTAATAATTAGAAATATTTTCTAGGTAATTATATTAAAATTAGAAGCTGTGCTACATTTTTGTTTCAAAGAGTCAAACGGGGCCTAATTTCACGCTTCATTTCAAGAACAGGGACAAAAAACAGATCAGCTCCTGCCTCAGAGAAATATTGTTATTTCTGGTGCTGCTTCATAAAAACCAACTACATCAGCATTTAGAGGAAACAAATGTGTGAACACAAGAGTGGATGATGGAGTGCGCATGCATGCATAATTGATTAGCTCTTTGATGAGCTGTTTTTGAGTAGCATCTCATCAGAGGGCTGGCTATGGCTTAAAAGTAGAAAGTGTAGCAAAAAAAACAAGAAGCACATGAGAGAAAATGCATTAAAGCACAAACTGAACAGATAGAAGGGGATGGACCCGAGTTACTCAGCGACAAAGTGTGTTTAATTTAAAACCCTTAACAGATAGCATTGCATTTCTCCATCAACTGATGAGTCACAGTTGTTTAGTCCAATCAGAACTTTAACAACGTGCCAAGCGGATAGGGATCCGGATGCGATGCTCTGGAAAGTTTCTGCATGTATTTTTTGCAGATGCTGCATGCGGATTGTCATGAAGTTAAAGAAATTACATGAGCCATGTAGGAAGTGAGGCATGTTTCTTCAAGCTGCGTCTGGTAGATTTCAAAATAAAACCCAATACTGCATTCTTTTTTAGAGATTTTAAAAAATTTTAACTCATTCGCTGCCAGCGTTTCTCACAGTTTTTACTGTTTTTTTTAAGAGTCACAGAACGTTGCGCGCTAGGATGATGTCGACGCCAAAATAACCAAAACAAAGCAGAGACTCGCCTCTTACATCAGGAAGAATCCGCGCGTTTCGAGCTTTATCCATTCTTTCATAATCCGTTGTTGAATTGTGATCAGCAGACGCTTTTCCAGTTCGCGCCTCACTTTTCTTACAGCAGCGGCCCAAAACAATCTCCTAACACATGGATTTTCTGCTTCCTGATCACGTGACGTGTGACGAAGATCGGCTTTAGAGCTGAGATGTTTGTTCTCACGGTGCGGGGGCTCGTTCCGACGCCCACACAGTAAAAAAAATATGCAAATGACAACTTTAGTCGTCATTGGCAGTGAATGAGTTAATGGCAGTGTTATCGGTGTACAGTGTGTGTTGGCTCACATTGTTTTAGTGTCACCTTTAGTCATTTGTGCTATCCTGGGAAAGTGTTGAGCATACAAACTACAGTCGTGTGAATGGCAGTCAGTCAGGAAGCCGTACGGAAATCAGACCGCATCTGTTTCGTACTCGCTATGATCAAGCACAAATCTTTCCGCACACACTCATCACTCTGGGAATGAATGAAATGAAAAGCCAATCATGGGAGAGCCCTTCTGAAGTGGGAGTTTCACCTAAGATGCTGCTTTTTTTGAATATGCAAGCGGCTGATGGGTGGGCGTGGCCAGGGACTGCTTGTTTTTCTTAAAGTGACAAAGCCTTAAAAGGACTTATTCTGGAAGGTACTGAAAATGTCAAGAATAAAACTGCTGAGATTTCTTCATGAGGGATTTAGTGCAAAGAACCTCATAAACATGTTTAGTATCGACCTATTTTTCCCTTTAAACAATGCTGCTTTCTTATTTCAAAATGTGGGACATCTGAATAATCTTTCCAGGATAGTGGGGGTACTTTACCATGACTAATGACGATAATTCAAGCTATGTGTGTGAAAGTGCTCCAGACTGACGTAGAAGGGGGGTTAGAAACGTTTCTCTTGTGAAACGTTTAAGAGATTCGGTTGCACAACAAAGTCTGTGCATCTCCGCTTACAGGTCATTTAGATGTTTGTCTGAAAAGGAAGCCAAGTTTGGTGTGGTTGAAAACACCTGTCAGCACCTCTGTCATAACTTCCTTCTCTCCGTCTGTGTGTTTTTATTTATTTTTTGTTTGTTTCTCTCCAGCTGTGTGTAAAAGCATCCAGGAGCCCGTCACGAAGGAAATCCTTTTGGAGTTTCTGGATCGCTGTGCTCAGGGAGCTAACGCACAGAACAAGAAACGCCCACCTGACCCAGACGCTCAGCTGATGCCCCCTCCCCCTCCCAAAAGACCCAACTGGGCTGTGCAGTAGCTCAGCTGGGACCGCTGGACTGTCCCATGGACATACTAAACACCCGGCTCACCATCTACAAACAGAACAAACATGTCCGCTCTTCTTACTGCACCACCTTCGCTTCCTCAGCCTGATCATGTAAAAACCAGAGAGACGCGACGGCCTCAGTGTGATTCACTCTTAGATCTCTTTGTAGCTTTAATTGCTTGTGCTCTTATTAAAACACTGAACATGATGCTTAGGTTATTTTCTGATTGGTTTTTTTTCCTATTTATTGTTTTTAAGTCTGAGCTGATTAGTATTCATCAAGAAAGGACTGTTATGGCAACGAGTGACAGCTTTGTTTACATTTTGTCGATTTTAGTTTACTCTGAAAGAGAAGTAAACATCATCAAAGTTCAAGTCTGGCGTTTTTATGCCTTTTAGTTTCCAATCAGCACAGGTCCGAGAGATTACTACAAAGCTGCACAGATTTAAGGTTTAGATCCGTTAATGATTTTACCTCATTAGCTGAGCTCACCCAGTGGTGTTCAGAGGGATTGTCCGATGTTTTAAATACAGGTGCTGGCCAGTAAATTAGAATATCATCAAAAGGTTGAAAATATTTCAGTAATTCCATTCAAAACGTGAAACTTGTACATTATATTCATGCAATGCACACAGACCAATGTATTTCCAATGTTCATTACATTTAAATTTGATATTCATAAGTGACAACTAATGAAAACTCCAAATTTGGTATCTCAAAAAATTAGAATATTCTGAAAAGGCTGAATATAGAAGACACCTGCTGCCACTCTAATCAGCTGATTTACTCAAAACACCTGCAAAGGCCTTTAAAAGGTCCCTCAGTCTTGTTTTGAAGGCACCACAATCATGGGGAAGACTTCTGACTTAACAGCTGTCCAAAAGACAATCATTGACACCTTGCACAAGGAGGGCAAGACACAAAAGGTGATTGCTAAAGAAGCTGGCTGTTCGCAGAGCTCTGTGTCCAAGCACATTAACAGACAGGCGAAGGGACGGAAAAAATGTGGTAGAAAAAAGTGTACAAGCTCTAGGGATAACCGCACCCTGCAGAGAATTGTGACGACAAACCCATTCAAAAATGTGGGGGAGATCCACAAAGAGTGGACTGCAGCTGGAGTCAGCGCTTCAAGAACCACCACGAGGAGACTCATGAAAGACATGGGATTCAGGTGTCGCATTCCGTGTGTCAAGCCACTCCTGAACAAGAAACAGCGCAAGAAGCGTCTCGCCTGGGCCAAGGACAAAAAGGACTGGACTGATGCTGAGTGGTCCAGAGTTATGTTTTCTGATGAAAGCAAGTTCTGCATTTCCTTTGGAAATCAAGGACCCAGAGTCTGGAGGAAGAGCGGAGAAGCACAGAATCCACGTTGCATGAGGTCCAGTGTAAAGTTTCCACCGTCAGTGATGGTGTGGGGTGCCATGTCATCTGCCGGTGTTGGCCCACTCTGTTTCCTGAGGTCCAGGGTCAATGCAGCCGTCTACCAGGAAGTTTTAGAGCACTTCATGCTTCCTGCTGCTGACCAACTTTATGGGGATGCAGACTTCACCTTTCAACAGGACTTGGCACCTGCACACAGTGCCAAAACCACCAGCACCTGGTTCAAGGACCATGGTATCCCTGTCCTTGATTGGCCAGCAAACTCGCCTGACCTTAACCCCATAGAAAATCTATGGGGTATTGTGAAGCGGAGGATGCAATACGCTAGACCCAACAATGCAGAGGAGCTGAAGACGACTATCAGAGCAACCTGGGCTCTCATAACACCTGAGCAGTGCCACAGACTGATCGAGTCCATGCCACGCCGCATTACTGCAGTTATTGAGGCAAAAGGAGCCCCGACTAAGTATTGAGTGCTATACATGCACATTCTTTTCATGTTCATTCTTTTCAGTTGGCCAACATTAGAGAAACAAACATTTTTTCATTGGCCTTTAGAATATTCTAATTTTCTGAGATACCAGATTTGATGTTTTCATTGGTTGTCACCTATAAATATCAAAATTAAACGTAATAAACATCGGAAATACATTGGTCTGTGTGCATTGCATGAATATAATGTACAAGTTTCACGTTTTGAATGGAATTACTGAAATATTTTCAACCTTTTGATGATATTCTAATTTACTGGCCAGCACCTGTATATGATCACGAAGCACTTCGGGATTATTCAGTCCAACTTTCAAACAACAGACATAACAGCATCACATGTCATTAAATACATTAAAATAGGAACAGTGGTCTGAGAGAACGATGACGCTGTAGCAGCACACAGAGTTAGGACAGGGTGAGGCCATGGGGGGGCTTTAAAACAAATCAACATTAAAAGTAATCCTAAAAAAAGAACAGAAACCAGTCAAATGAGGCTGCAACTTGGGAAATATGCTTGTATTTCTGTATACTAGTTAAAAGGTGTACAGCAGTATTTTGCACCTTGTAGAGATATGTAGGAAGCATGGACTCATTTATCCACTACATTACTGTAATCCAGCCGTGGTGGCGAAGGCATGGATTTCTGTGCTGCCTGGAAAGAATGGGTTTTTATTTCAGTCAGCGGCCTCAGCTGCAATAAAAGCTCAGTATAACCTTTGATCAGTTCTGACTTTTAGGTCTAAGATCAGTGTCTACTTTGACCCTGGGGTTAAGGACAACTAGTTCAAGCAACCCACTAAGGGTCTGTCTTTTTCTGAGAGCTATCAAAGCCTTCATGTCAACAAGACGTTGAAGCACATCATCACCACACATCGGTGCATCTTTCTCTTTGGGAGAAAGGAAGAGGCTTAACACTGAGCTCTGAGGGACACCACATGAGAGAGAAATGCAGGACTTATCTAGGACCTAATCCCAGGCTGACGCTGATGGTGGCCTGAGGAAGTAAACGTAAACAAAACTGCTCTGTGTTTTTAAAAAAGAACTACAGCATGGAATTAGAGATACGACACAGCAAGAACACACCTAAGATTATCTAGGACCTGAACCAACCAGGTGAATCCAAGAATGTTAAGTGACAGTGTGACGTAGATGTGTCAGGCTTTTCTAATCCTCGAGTTTCACGTCTGTTTACTATCAGAATACAGTAGATATGTGTAGGAGACTATTTTCATGTTCAGACTGCATGAAAAGCTCAGAGTGACTGATTATAGTCAGAAAAAACATTTAAAGAGATGGTTTTTCAGTCAACCACAGCTTTAGATAAATTACAAAAACTCGATAAACAACAAAGTAGTTAAAACGTAAAAATAACTTTACAGCTTTTGCACATTTCTAATTCATAAAGATGTAACTTTCAAACTTTCTTTTGCTATAAATATTTTTAGAAAGAAAAGCAAAAATTCATGCAAGAACTAGAGTGAAAAGTAGTGAAATGGTGGGAAAAGGTGTTGAGAAATATTAGATTAGAGGTTATTCAGAACTTTTTCTCTTTGCAGAAGGAAATTTGCGGCTTCTTAAGTTTACAGGAATAAAACAAATACTTTTAAACGGTTTAGTCCCTCGTTTTATCTTGGTTAAACCTCCTAACACGTTATCCTGAATCCTTTGAGCTTGTGGGGTGACCGAGCCAGTCAGCAGCTGCTCTCTTTTTGAGGTGGTTCTGATTAAAAGCTGAGATGAACGTTTGATTGTCCTCCTGAAGGGTCCTCCTCCAGTTCTCGCTTCCCCCTGCTTGACCTTTTATCTCCCTGTGAGGCAAACACAGGTAATCCGTCTCTCTGAAGTTTAACAGAGGCATCAAGGCTCCTTTATTTTATTCCCAAAGGAAAACCTTGTTGCCAGGAAACATTTGGATTTCTTTTGTAACCTGCTGCCCACATGGATGCCTGTTGCTAGGAGTGTTGCCCTTCAGATGGATTATTTCCTCACCACAGGAGAGATATAGGAGTGATTGAAAGAACAAACAGTGGGTTTTGTGTTTTATTCTGATTTCCTTGTATGATTTAACACTTGGTTGTTTGTTGCTAAAACTTTTGGAGCTTCAGGAGGTTCGTTTGTAACGTGTGCCTCTCCAACACAACGAAGGCTTATTATTAGATGAAGCATTTATTGTCATTTCTACCACATGTGTAAGACATACAGAGAAACAAAATAGAGTTTCAGTACACACAATTCAGAGATCAGACATACATGGGCAAGACACATGACAAGAATTGGTGACTGCGGTCATTCGCAACACGAGTCGTGCTACCTTAATAGATGAAACGGAATTACATGAGGATAGGTTGGGGGAGGGACAAAAAAGGCATACCAGAGTTCCTTCCGACAGGGCGTAGCTGTACTATGCAAAAAAACACCTCAAACATATAAGCATGAACTTCAACATTCACAACATGAGACTCCGATGGCGGGGGGGGGGGGGGGGGGGGGGGGGGGGGGGGCTGGGATCCTGTTTATCCAGGGCCAGCAGCCATGTGCGGCGCTCAGCCAGCTGTGTCCACAGGAGGGAGAGAGATCTTGGGAGGAGCATAGAGCACAATCCTGCAGGTTGATGTTCTCGCTGTGAAGTCCCCAATCTGAAGGCGGGGGGTAGGACAGGTTCCACAGCATCTGTCTGCATTCCTTCCTTCGTGGGGGATGATAATTTGCAGCTTCAAGGCTGCCTTGGCGTCAGATTAGGATAACAAGACTGTGTTTGGGTCAGGCAGAGATAATTTCCCCCTCTGCCTTCAGTCTGTAACTGATCATTCAAGTCCTTCAAGTGAAGCCAATTCGGGTTATTAAACATCTCCACACTGTCCGGTGACCCTCTCCGAGATGACATCCATTTTGCGCACTAACACCGGTAACGCAGCTAAGACATTGTCCAGCTTACGATTCACCTCGAGTAACGTCCCAGTCTGTGAGGTCTCCGCCCGGACGGTGCTGTCCATGGGTGCGGGTCGCCCTCCAATCGCTCCCGTCTTCCCAATTTTTCGGAAAACCAGATATCCTCCCATTCCAATCAGAAGAAATCCAGTGATCATCAGGCCAAATATCCACATATCTTCGATGTCCTCAATGGACAGCTGAGAGAGACAGACGACCTTCCACTCCTTCCAGGAATCGAGCATATATCCCGCTACGTGTGTCCCATGAGGGCAAGTGGGAGCCCCCTCCTCCGTTCTCATCGTAGAAAAAATCTTATCAATCGCGTTGAATGACCAATTAATTAAATCCATTTCTGAAAAATAGTGATTTCCAGAGGAAATGCAGAGAAGCGCTCTGTAGGCAGACAGGACAAAAAGAGCCTTGGGAAAAAAAGATAAGGGAGCAAAGCAGAAGCGTCTGTGCTCTATGAGTGCCAAGAGAAGGCTTGAAAGTCAGGATTTGTGTTTATTTTCGGATCAGGGTGACGATACACAGCAAATTCAAAAGTGTTTATTTTCTGGTGTTGGTTCAA